GGTAAGGAGGAGGGTGTCCTTACGAAGTGACGGATCCTGTGTACTCTCGTGCCGTTCCATGATCGAACCACACAAGCGCCGGATCTTGATCAACTCCAAACTCCGCAGCAATGTCGCCTCCGTCGTGGAAGTCCATCTTTGCCAGCACTGCAGCATTTCCATCCTCCTTCAGTGCTGTCGCAGCTTTGGCGAAGTAAGGTCGGAATGCGGTGGAAGCTCTCCCATTGTCGGTGTAAAACAACAAAAGGATGTATTTGTTCTGCATACGGGCGGCCTGCCAATCGGCGGGAGTTAAGTGTACCACATCCGATTCGCTGAAATTGCGATGATGATTAGCGTGGGGATCGGGACTCTCCGCGCCTTCGTCGCCATCGCTGTCACCTTCGTCATCACTCTTCTCGTCACCATAACCACCACCCTCGGTGGTCGAGGCCGCATCATCATCAACATTATCACCACCAGCCCCCGGGGGAAACTCGTCCAGGCCGCTGCTATCTTCAAAACCACCGGATTCCCGCGCTAAGTCCTTCTCCTCTTGCCCACGTGGAACAGATCGCTGACCATCAAATTGATCATCATGATTGACGATTTCCCGTGTTTTTTTATCGACAGGCTTATCCACTTCTCGATTCTCCTGCTGAGGTGGCACACGTTGCTCATCGGTCTCACTACGCGACAAAAACGTTTCCGAGTTTCCTCCCGCCTCCTCTGCCAAAGGCGAAGGAGACGACACAGCTTCGACATCCTCAGGTTGCGCCGCCGTCCCGATCGGGACCAGGGGTTGACAGATGATCGAGATCGCGACCAATCCGAAAACCAAAGGCAGAAGTCGATCCAACGACCACCTCGCCTTCATCTTGTTCCAGATCCCGACCGCACGACCACGGATTGAAGGGGGGAGGGAGTTGTTGTTTCTTTGTTTTAACGGATTAAAAAGTTTCGCACGCAGATCGGAGCCAACCTCCTCCAAAATTAGTGGGAGCTCGAGACCGAAAATGTACGCGACCCTGCTTCCAAAAAAAAAAAAAAAAAAACAGATTACTGTATTATCAAATCCAAATGCAAAAAAAAAAAAAAAAAAAATCCAAATGCAAGGAATATAACTTTAAATAAACGATACGAAAACGACAGTAACTCCAGAATGCAACATCACATTGAAAGCCAGAAAGTCGAATGTTGTCCAGAAAGCAGATATGCACCGATATTCCACCAACCGGAGAACCAAAGCACCGAATCCAAATGTCAATGAGAGCACACTCTCTCCACCACCAACGTATGTATCCAGAGCCCTTCCTCCTACTTGGCGCTCAGCGCCCAGACTACAATCCCACAGCCAACTAGCCAGCCTACGAATTGATAAGGAAACCTGTCGACGTCAGCAGCAGCAACCGACGCAAATGAAGATGTCGCTCATGTAGACCATCGCCAAGACCAGGTACGTGCCCTCACATCATCATCCTCATCTCTCTCTCTCTCTCTCTCTCTCTCTCTCTCTCTCTCTCTCTCTCTCTCTCTCTCTCTCTCTCTCGTCTTCGCAAACTTTGATGGACCTGCTTTTGCGATTTGCGTTCAAGAATGCATTCAAAAGATTAGGAACCAACCGTTCCGCCGTTTACTCTGCGTTCAACTTTTTTTTTTTTCAATCAGAAAAAAAAAAAAAAAAAAAAAAAAAAAAAAAAAAAACAGATTTTAATCTGATCAGAACGGATACTATACTTGATCTTAAGCAAAAGGCCGAGAAAAGTATATCGTCGTGTTCTTTTTTTTTTTAATTACATATATCGGCAAACAGAGCTGCCCGGTAAACCGAAGGCAGAGAGGGAGAAGAGGACAACAAACGAGGAGGGGCTGTGACAAACTGTTTTGTCGGAGTTTCACCTACCGACTCATCAGGAGGCTGAACCCTCAACAGTCTGCAGAATCCCCCAACTCTGATTACACTAAGTTATAAAATCCACCTTACCCCGGGTTGTGGTTAAGCATGAACGACAGCTCGACAACTGATACCCTGAGGTATATAGAATATATAAATACGTCGTGTTCATTACTTACACGACTGCGGAGCGACATCGGAAGCTTTTTTTTTCTTTTTCTTTTTCCCTTAGAGCGTACTCAAACGAGCTCTATCTTAACTGTATCTGGCGCATTTACGGTAGTATGCCCTTACTGGGGGAACCAAGCGCAGGAACGAAGCAGGATTGTAAGGAAAGATCCAAGATTTTCTAGCCTCGCTCCACTACTCACCACATGCAATATATATATATAGATATATTTGGCCTGTGGGCAGGGGCGGTGCTTGCATGTGGGACTTGTCATCTGGGATCTGTTTTGTTGGCCCCTGTTCTGTATTATTTGGCTGTTCCCTTCCTCTTCTGTTTGCCTCTTTGCCTTTTGGCTGGCTGTGTGCAAGTGGGTCGATATGACACACGGGGGTGGGGGCAGCCGCCGCTCAACCTACATCCACGTGGGCGGCCTTGTACGCAAGAGGTAAGGAAGAAGGAAAAAAACTGAATTCATTTTTCCCTGTTTTTCTTTCTTTTTTTCCTTTCTTTTTTTTCTTCCTTTTTTTTCGCATTTGCGCTCTGATATTCTTGCGCTCTGATATCATGTGAATTGCCTCTTTGCCTTTTGGCTGTGTGCAAGTGGGTCGATATGACACACGGGGGTGGGGGCAGCCGCCGCTCAACCTACATCCACGTGGGCGGCCTTGTACGCAAGAGGTTCTGAACCTGTCTCTTATACACATCTAGATGTGTATAAGAGACAGACCGTAGGCAGAGAGAGAGAAGAGGACAACAAACGAGGGGCTGTGACAAACTGTTTCGTCGGAGTTTCACCGACTCATCAGGAGGCTGAACCCTCAACAGTCTGCAGAATCCCCTCACTGATTACACTGTAAATGATAATCTACCTTAACCAAAATCAAAGTAGACTATCACTCACCCACACCAGATGGAAAACTCTCTATATATTGTCACATTGTGAATCAGAGCGCAAAAAAGGGGAAAGAAAAAAGGAAAAGGAAAAAAGGGGAAGGGGAAAGCGGTAAGGAAAGCTCCACCTGTTCATAACCTCTTACGTACAAGGCCAGCCACGTGGATGACAGGTTGAGCGCTGGCTGGCCCCATCCCCGTGTGTCACAAGGACCCACTTGCACGCAGCCAAAAGGCAAAGAGGTAAAGAAGGGGAGGAGAAGAAGGGGAGGAGGAAACCAAACCTGACAGGGAAAGAAAGATAAGGAAAGAAAGATAATCCAATTATCACAAAGCAAATAACACATCCCACAGATCAACGTATCTTTTTTCTTTTTTTCTTTTTTTCTCTTTTTTCTTTTTTTCTTTTTTTCTCTTTTTCTTTTCTTCTTTTTTTCTTTACCTGCCCCCACCTCGGCAGATAGGACAGCTACGGTGAGGATGATGTGGATGTTCACAAGGATGTCAAAGGAGAGCTGCGCCAGCACAGCATTCTGCAGGACGGCTAGCACGAACCATCCCATCAAAACAGTCCTGACAGAGGACGTGTTGTCCACATGTCAAAAACGCGGCAGGACGTTCATCACAGTGCGGCATCATACAGTTTTGATAGCGTCCTTGGGCACAATAGGGACAACGTATATCTGGGTGATAGGGATGTGTACAATGAGGAAATGTTGGACACCCTTCAGGACAGACGGCGGCAGTCGCAATAGATTGATAATGGCTATGGCATAGATGATGCATTCCACAGCCAAGGCGCACCGCGTCTCTGTCCCGACAGGCGTCACACGAGAGTCGGTCAATAATCCAGAATAAAGTATGATTCGACAACGCTCGCAAAAATTCATTCACGTCAAAAATGAACTGACTCATCGTCCCACCATCCCACAGTTCCCACTGGGCAGCTGCACGAATGAGTGCCATATAATGCCCGGGTCTATGTAAAATACAGGCAAAAATATGAGGATGGTTATCGAGGTATTGTCACACTGTGAATCGGAGCGCAAAGGCGGAAAAAAGCAAAACAAGGAAGGGAAAGCAGAACAAGGAAGGGAAAGAAAAAAGGTCAGGAAGGCGGAAAAAGGCAAAACAAGGAAGGAAGGAAGGTAAGCCCCACCTGTTCATCACCTCTTACGTACAAGGCCAGCCACGTGGATGTAGGTTAAGCGCTGGCTGCCCCCATCCCCGTGTGTCACAAGGACCCACTTGCACGCAGCCAAAAGGCAAAGAGGTAAAGAAAAGGAGGAGGAAACCAAACCTAACAGGGAAAGAAAGATAATCCAATTGTCATGTAGCAAATAACACATCCCACAGATCAACATATCTTTTCTTTTTTCTTTTTTCTTTTTTTCTTTTTTTCTTTTTTTTTCTTTTTTTCTCGTTTTCTTTTCTTCTTTTTTTTCTTTACCTGTCCCCACCTCGGCAGATAGGACAGCTACGGTGAGGATGATGTGGATGTCCACAACGATGCCCAAGGAGAGCTGCGCCAGCACAGCATTCAGCAGGACGGCTAGCACGAACCATCCCATCAAAACAGTCCTGACAGAGGACATGTTGTCCACATGTCAAAAACACAGCAGGACGTTCATCACAGTGCGGCATCATACAGTTCTGATAGCGTCCTTGGGCACAAAAGGGACAACGTATATCTGGGTGATAGGGATGTGTACACGAGAGTCGGTCAATAATCCAGAATAAAGTATGATTCGACAAYGCTCGCAAAAATTCATTCACGTCGAAAATGACCTGACTCATCGTCCCACCATCCCACAGTTCCCACTGGGCAGCTGCACGAATGAGTGCCATATAATGCCAGGGTCTGTGTAAAATACAGGCAGAAATATGAGGATGGTTATTGAGGTCATCGCCAAGCGTCGCATGATGCATAAGAAGGTGGCGACCGTGAAACGCTAACTGTAAGACATTTTCAGTATTGTCACATGATATCAGAGCGCCAAAGCGAAAAAAAGAGAAAAGAAAAAAGACAAAAATGAATTCGTTTTTTTATCTTCTTTCTTACAACTCCCCCTGTTCAGAACCTCTTGCGTACAAGGCCGCCCACGTGGATGTAGGCTGAGCGGCGGCTGCCCCCACCCCCGTGTGTCATATCTCGACCCACTTGCACACAGCCAAAAGGCAAAGAAGAGAGGAAGGGAACAGCCAAATAAAACAGACAGAACAGGGGGCAACAAAACAGATCCCAGATGACAAGTCCCACATGCAAGCACCGCTATCGCAAAAGTGAAAAAAAAAACAAAAGGAAACAAAAAAGATATCAATTCATTTTTTATCTTCTTACTTGCAACTCCCCCTGCTCAGAACCTCTTGCGTATGGCGATGTACACTTCCATGTTCTAGAGGAAGATTCATTCTCATTTTGCACATTTGGTGAGTACTGGAGCGATGCCTCATTACCAGTTCCCAATTCCTTTATAGCATTTTGTGCAGTGGATCGCTGCCCGTGTTTATTGGCATGCCGGGATTGCACATAGCCATCCCATGTTGGCTTGACCGTCTTCCGTGTCACCAGTGCGCATTGGTGGAGAGTCGTTGGGCGGAGACGTCAAAACGCCGGCTGTTCCTCCTTCGTGCTCTCCTCTTTCTGTTGAGCTGCTCATCGCTCAATGAACGTCAGATTGGTGAAGGTAGGCGGTAGAGTCGACAGGTTGCTTGATACAGGACTCGTCGCCCCGACATCTTAGATGTTGACGATACTCCAATATCACACACACACACACACACACACACACACACACACACACACACACACACACACAGAAGCGCGACGGCAGTTCGGGGGGAGAGGGGGACGAGAGCGGGAAGGGGAGCGGGAGCGGTAATGGGGCGGCAACGGGAGCACCCCCCTTCTCTCTCTCTCTCTCTCTCTCTCTCTCTATCTCTATCTATCTATCTATCTATCTATCTATCTATCTCTATCTCTCTATCTCTCTATCTATCTATCTATCTATCTATCTATCACAGCCCCTCGTTTGTTGTCCTCTTCTCTCTCTCTGCCTACGGTTTACCGGGCAGTTCTGTTTGTGACGATATATATATATCGTCAAATAAGATATATTTTTTCAGATTTTTTTTTCCTGTGACCCTTTCAATGTAATGAGTGTTCGGAATTCTTTTGGACATTGCTTGTCACTGCTGGTCTTTTGTTTTTTGCCCTATTCGTGTTCTCTGTCCTCCTCGTGTTATTGTTATTTCTTCTTCAGTTGTCTTCAGTTGTGACCCTTTCCAGTTTATTGCTGGTGGTTTTTTTTTTTTGCATTTTCTTTAATGATGTCATTTCAGTTTATTGGGCGTTCGAGAGCTTTGAGGCCATGGCTTGTCATCATTGTTCGTCTTCCTCTTCTTCTTCCTCCTCCTCTTTCTTCCTCCTCTTCGTCTTCCTCCTTTTCTTCTTTCTCCATAAGCCGATCTTTGGAAGAAACCCGCTGACACTTGCCGGGACCACCCCTGACAATTGTCAGAGGAGGTCATGTGTTCGATTCTTCTTGAGCTCATCAAGAATCGAACACATGACCTCCTCCCTCATAGGAGTTGCATGCTCAACCAATTGCCGAAAGCGCAGCTTGGCCGACATGCATAGGCGGGAAATACGCGCGTTTCTACTGCTAGCTGTTAAATGCGGAGATGTAATATACTAATATCTATCTGTGGACAAAAAAAAAAAAAAGGAAAAAAAAAAAAGAAGTATCTGTTAAGGCATGTGCATGAACAAGTCTATGGCCACTGTTTTCACTACACTGTTTTCACTATTCTTCTTCTTCGATGGACAGTATATAGTAGGACAAGGCCGTTTTGGTCCTCTATAAAAAATAAAAAATAAAAAGGAAAAAAATAAAAAGCATGTCTACACTGTTTTCAGTATTCTTCTTCTTCGATGGATAGTATATAGGAGGACAAGGCCGTATTGGTCCTCTATACTCAGTAAGACGGGAGGATTGTCGGCGGGGCGGCCGCAAGGCAGGGCTAAGGGTCAAGAGGTTAGCCCCCAGAGGAGGATCGGAGCGCAACCGATCTAAACGCGTCGGGGAATGTGCGCGTGAGCAGAGATGAGTACGCGCGGCTATGTATTTTTTTGAAGAGCTTTCGAAACGTGTACGAAAGGCAGTTGGCCACTGTTTTCACTATTCTTCTTCTTTTCTCCTCGTTCCCATTTCCCCTCATTGTCTTCCTCCTCACCGACTCTCTTTTCCTCCTCCTTCGGGTTTTCCCTGCTACGATGACCACTGTTTTCACTACACGATTTTTCCTCCTCCTCCTTCCGCATCTCTCTTGTTTATTCCTCCTGTCTGATCACCACGACGATCGTCATCGTCAATCGTGAATCACTATGACGATAATTAATTGTCATCAATCATCATTAATCATCATCAATCATGAATCGTCGTCATCATCGACATTGTTATCGATCATCATCAGCACCCGCTTTCATCAACCCCATCAATAGTCATCCTTCACCATTGTCAATCATCATCATCATCATCATCATCATCAGTCATCAATCAACAATCAATCGTCATCAATTGTCCACCATGACTCATCATCATGGACATTGTCATCGATCGATCATCATCAGCACCACCACTTTCATCATCCCCATCAATAGCCATTCTCCACCATAGTCAATCCTCCTCCTCATCATCATACGGCCATAATCATCATCATCACCACCCCCATCAGTCATCAATCAATAATCAGTCGTCATCAATCATTATCCATCATGACTCATCATCATCGACATTGTCATCGATCGATCATCATCAGCACCACCACTGTCACCATCCCCATCAACAGCCATTCTCCACCAAAGTCAATCATCCTCATCCTCATCATCGTCATCATCATCATCATCATCATCATCACCTTCCTCATCAATCATCAGTCAATAATCAGTCGTCATCAATCATTTCCAATTATGACTCGTCCCCATCGACATTGTCGTCGATCGTCATTACCACCACGACTTTCATCATCTCTGTCAGTAGTCATCCTTCGAGAGAATCCGAAATATTCGTGAGCCTTCCAGGCTCTTCCGGCAACGTGGTGAAAGCAAATTCAGTCAAGTCTTTTTCTCCCTTTTGTTTTAGATTTCCGTTTCGTTCCATTTGCCGCCCCTAGCAGGCATCTCTCTAGCGAAGGAGAAGGAAGCACAGAAAAATGTCGACGGCAAAGAGAACAACACACACACACACACACACACACACACACACACACACACACACACACAGATCGGTGAAAGTCCGACGAAACAGTCTCTCTGGCACAG